TGCGATGCATTGCAATATTTTCTCCTCCATGTTTTGTTTTTTAATGACTCGGCACAGTATCCCACGGCCGGAAATGCTTGTGACACAAGGCAGCGTGCGTCAACACATTTCCAGCGACATCTACTGGACTGGAAGTGGTATTGCACTTTTTTTTGGCTGATGTTCGCCAACCATTCATGCAATTTTATTTATTCATTTTTTTAAATTAATAATCGATTCTTGACATCAAGAATCGATGCAGTAGATCACGAAAATTAGAATCACGATGCATCATCATCACGATTATTTTGCACACCCCTAGTCTGATGTGTGTTGGACAGACCCTATCCTTTCTTTGCCTGTAACAATGGCAGCTATATTTGCTATGATCAGTGGGTAAAAAGTAGTTTGAATCTATTTTGAAGTGAGAAAGTCCACCTGAAAAAATCGTCAGTACAGTCAGTTCATCCAGAGCCATCCTGCCTTCAAATATTATTTCTGTCAGAGCAGCTTAGACCCCCATACACTGGCAGTGAGGTCACTAGGAATCCCATTCAACAGCAGCCTCTGCCTTGGTCATGTACATAATCCAAATTTAATTTCATGTACATAATCCAAACTGCAGGCACCAGGATAATAAAAGCGAGCATGTTTTGCCGACAGATTTCTGCATTTTAAGTTAATTTAGGCGTTAATAAACTGTTTCAGAGGAGTGATCATTGCACTCTGCATCATCAGTGCTGCCTGTCTCCCTGCAAGCCCCGAGATCAGCGACATGGGGCTTCAGCTGCTCAGACGCGCTGCTGCTGCTGCTCTAGACGCGCTGCAGGCAGCATGTCGTTCATGTGTTTTAAAGGCATGGTTTCGAGGGGTGGTCTGAAGGGAGAGGCATGGTTGTGTATGTTCAAAAATATAGCTTGCTGGAACCGTTTTTCCAAGATCTCCTACAGCAACTGTAATTTAGTTTCTTTAACACAATTGTTTCATGTTAGCAGGGTAAGACATAAAACAATTGTAACTAAATATGATTAAGTAAATGCCAAAAGCGATTACATAATTCTTTCAGTGAAATAACATATATTCTTCAAACAATCAAGTTCGAAGTGCTTTTAAGAAACAAACCACTTGTTGCCACTAATGGCCTGTCATGGAAGATTTTGTATTTTGGAACCTGGAAGGCTGGGAAAAACTGCATGCAAAAACATTGATTGGTTATAAATGAAAGTGGTCAGTATACTGCATTATTATTTGGCTTTAAGCGTCATAGTAAACGATTTATAAACTAAAAGAAATGATTGCATTTTGTAACCCTGCAAATTATAAGTAATTCGACAGAAGCCCCTAAGCTTTGTGTTCAGAGGCAACTCTAAAACACAACTAAAGCAATCCTGTCTTTTTTTTTCTCCATAAAATTCAAAATAACATGTAATCAATCCAAACTTTACGAAAGTCATAAGAACACAATCATTGCTTACAAAAACTTCTTTGCGACATTAATATTGTTTGCCCATGCTGTCCTGATTTTATATTCACAGTGCATTGTACAGTTCTAATAGACCCTTTAAATAACATTTCAGGCCATAAAATTATAAAATGAATAAAAAAATGTAATTTATGATTATTTTCTTACTGAATAGACTTAAACACAAATAAAACCATTTTCTCCTTTTTGGAGACAAATATGAATTATAATTTGCCGTAACCTTCATTGTAAATTAAAATTTAACCTGATTAAACTTAAAGATTTAGTCTTTAATTTTATTTGGAATGTTTGTAGTAAAAAAAGGTGAAGCTTTTGATATAATAATTTGCTATAAATATGGAGGACATGGTCTGATCTAAAGAGATACACGGAGCTGCTCTTAGGTCAGCATTTCAAACATGCACCTCATTGTAACAAAGCAGCTTTGGTTAATTTGCAAGCACCAACAAGGGCAAACACACACACACACAAACGAAGCAAAATAAAAATTAAGAATAAATCAAATTGAGGTTTCACACAAAAACCCAAGTCACATGTAATCCTACACAAACTCATGGCTTCATCCACTGAAGAGCATATTGGTCCTCATCCATGCCAGCGCTCCACTGACCCATATCTTGCTTTTGCCCAGAAGTCAAATGCCTCTCAGTATATCTCACTGACTCACTCTCAGGAGGTTCATCGCTGCTACTATCTGCTGACTGAAGCCCAAAATATGCCCTAAATATATGAATAAAGAGTGCCTAAAAAGAAACTACATTCTGAATTATTTTGTGTTTTCAGATAAGATTAAAATCTAGTTTGTTTTTTTTGTAGTTGTTGGTCTTCCAACAATTTTCAGTTACATTAATCATCTTTCTTTTGGAGTTAAATATTAATTATTGGGATTAAATATGTGTACAAACATCATTTTAAATATGTTTTTTTATTTATTTTTAAATGAGCTTGAAAGGAAATTGTGTGTGATTTAACACATCTGTCGGATCACAAACTATTGCGTCTGACTGGGTATTAAGATCAAGTGATTGTGCCTGAATTCTCAGTAAATCCGTTTTTCATTTACAACTTATATCTTTATTTGATGGAAGGCAGGTTGAGTATTGCATCCAAACAAAAAATGTTATGATTAGGACTACGTTTTTAATCATGATCAATCCTGCACTTGTTCTAGATAGGAACTGGAAATGATCTATGAAGGAAGTTCCAGCCAAACTGAGCAGAGGGATCCACAGGGATTTCCTAATTGTATGGGTCACCACCCAGGCTAAATATGCAATAGATGTTATACTGTACTATCATCACTACCATGTGTGCTGCTGCTTTATTGAAGGCTGAAATGCAAAAGTGCATTAAACTCTGTAACAATTGCTGTGTGATATAGAGCATCACTGTATGTTTAATGGCAGTGCCACCAGGATATTAATGAGAAAAAAAATCTAAATATCAAAGGAGTGCTTAGATGTAATCATTTATATTCTAATTGGTGACATTATTCACAAGAATTCCTTCACACATCTTTACGATGAATGGATGTCATCTATAACATTGCATTACGTTTTGTCAATGTTGCTTCCTCACCAATTGTAATCGGTTCTCCCTTAATCTACTCTTCATCTTTGTGTCCACCTGAACATTTCAAACAACCACCAAAATAACAACCAAGTAGCTTTTTTACAACAGCCATTCCAAAACTCCACCAATTTGGACTGTTTTTCATTTCATTTGCAAAAATTGCCAAAGCTGCTTACCTTTGAATATTTCTTTACAGATAATAGTTTACCTACTTTTTTCAGATTTGTATAGATTTTATTTTATTTTCTATCTGATATTATAAGTGTGTCTTTCTTCATGCTTATCTCTTTTTTTGTACTGCTGCCTCTTGCATTATTAGGAGAACTAGTTCTCAGTTTGGCGGTACCCCTGTCTTTTACAGCTGGAGCCCATAAGGATACAGCCCTACAAATGTAACTGTTTATAATCTTTAACATACTTGGCAAATGTGCAATGCAAAAATAATCATAATGAAACCATAATAGAACTAGTTATTTATGATCGAATTTTCTAGAGGTTAACTAGGATTAGGGTCATAACTACAACAAAACATAAAAGCTCTAAGCTCTTCTGTCCTCTGGATCCCCAGAGGTCATAAATCCATTACTGTTTTCCCTCTCTTGCTGATTGATCCGACATTTCTGGTGGCACCTGTCTCTGTAATATTTTATTTTTAATCAGACAGAGATGTCTAAGAGGTTTTTGAGCTTGTATGAGAACTGTGTAGGCAGAGTCGGCTAATTAATATCTTTAGTATCGGTTCCAGTCAGGAGGCTGTTTGCCGACCCGCATAAATCTGCATGCAGATCCGTGCAGCAGCTGCTTACTAATTGGAAGTCTACCTAGAATGATTGGTTGGTTCATCCATTTAATGATTATGGGGGGTTGCATGCTAAATCTTCTTCTGATCTAATAGGCGCTATCACTGTCTTCTGTCATTAAATTTATGTGGTTCTACATTAAATACAAACATATATTCAATTTGGAAAACTGGGCGCCTGTAAAGTTAAATTTTACTGTTTTCTACCAGTTTTTTCACACATTTTTACAGAGAAATATCCAAGAATAAAATATAGATAGTAAAAGATTATTTCCTGTCTTTTCCTTCACTGTCTGATAAGTGAATGATTTGTACTCGTAAAAGCTGTAACTGAAGTTGTTCTGGTTTTCATGACCCTTAAAAGCAGGACTCTGCTTAAAGTATATGATAACTGCATCAATTAGTTCAGCTCAATCTAATCACTTAAATGAGCAAGAGAAATGCATCGTACATACAGATATCTGGCAAACTATGGCAATCCGAATGACATTTAAATTAACGTGCATCTTAAAAGTTATACCAGAGAAAGAAGATGTTATCATGAAAGGTTTGGTAAAAACTAGGGACAAACACAAAGGTGATATGCAGACATAAAGTTAAACGAATACTGACCTAGAGACAATGTATGTCTCCTTCTATTGAATGGAAATTCTAGACAGCAAATGCTTCATATTCATGATTAGAATATTAGAAATCAACCACGGTAGTCATACTAATCCTCCACTCCCCCACTATAGACACACTTATAAACACTGTATACCTGTAAATGTGTTAGTTGGGGTTGAATGTAGTCTGATCATAACATAAATTATTCTTTTGTTCCATTCAACATTTTACCTCCACCTTCATTCTGCAGCACTATCTGATTTGGCCTAAAGAATAGGCATTGCAGCAGTTAATAAGAGGTGTCTGTAAAGCAGGCTCTACAGTACTGTTCATGGACATGCCAGATTTAACACCAATATCAATAAACTGTTTGTTTGAAGTTTGCGTAATATAGTCTATAGTTACACATTAATAGTTTATAAGTTATTAAATAAATAATTATTTTGAGTTATAACAGTTCTTACATTTAAGAAATAACTTCAAGTAGCTGGAACAGAGGAGACCAGGTGGGTTTTGAACCCTTCATGCTTGTGTTTAAAAACCAACTTCAGCTTATTTTACCTGCAGAATATCTCCTCGCCACCCAGCTGGTAGCACTGTCCTCCGTTGAGGCAATAGTTGGGCTGCATCTCGCAGGCAGAGCGGCAGCTTCCATTGATCATCTGGTAGCCCAGCCGGCAACCATTAGGTGAGATGTTAGGTACCACACCAGGATACGGTCCCCCAGGGTTAAAGGATCCAGACCCCGGAACGCGGGGCCTGGAGCGAGCAGGAGACCCCGCAGCCTCTCTAAGGTCTTCATCGCTCTCGTAAGCATCAGTCGTAGTGCTGTAGCTGTATTCTTCAACAGTGGGGGTCATCCCATCTTCATACGGTGTAAGGTAGTCATAGTTTTCGGGCATTGCCCAGGATGTTGCGTCCCCACCTTGAAGCTCATGGGCCAGAGATGATGGAGAGGGCGGGGCTAGGTCTAGGTTACGCCCACGAGAGGCTGGATCAAAGAAGTCCACATGAAGGACATCAGGGTTGGAGGGGTTGGGTGCAGCTGCTGGCGGGGCTGTAGTACGGTGGTCCAGGTCAACCATGGAAGTTTCCTTGACAGTAATCCAAGGTGGGTCATTATTTGGTGTGCGCCGCTTTTCTTCATCCCCTTCCACCTCTCCTTCTACAATGCGTGGGTTGCTAGGCAGCAGAAGGTCTGTCTCAGCCGAATCAGGAATGATCTGGGGTGTTGTGACCACGCTTATTTTCTCCATCGTGGGAGCCACCGTATCAGCAAACATGCCGCTGCTCTGATCATCTTCCTTGTCTCCACGAGGGATACGCCTCGCCCTCTGGGTCATAGAGCTGACGGGAGCAGAAGTGGCAGAGGTGCTCATCCCAGTTACTGTTGTGATGACATCATTGACCTTTACAGGGCCGTCCTCCTCAATGAGTGGAGAAGTGATATTGACTTTATTGTCTGGCTCAGTGGCATTTATCCCAAGAACAGCCCCTGCAAAAAGAGAGAGAACTGTTTTAGTTTTCATCATTTCTGAATGTATTTATGGACTTTAGTTAAACAAAAGAAATTATACCATTGAGTTGAACTTCTAATCACAAAGAAAATAAATACTGAACTTATTTGAACTTAAAAAAAGTTGTTGCTGTAAAATAAGGCTGAATGCATAACATAATGAGGTACCTAATGTCAACAACATGGTTTAAGAACAGCTAGAACAGAAGCATGAACAATACAATATGGTTAGATGACGTTTTTCCAATTATTCTTATTTACCGTGGGAACTACAGACACATGCAGTCTGCAGTCTTCAAAGAGAAGGTAGATTGTTTTCTTACTAGATACAACATTTTGGCAGATCAAAAAGTGGTTAGGGGTTTGTCTGACTTTTTTGATTAAGGAAGCTTTTTAATTCTTTTTAAGGGAGGGAGAACTGGATTAAGTTTGAAGCTATAAAGCACCCACACTCTGTGCCTATAAAGCTGTGCTGTTGAGAGGAAAAGAGTACAAAGTCTGGCACAGTCCAGCTGAAATAATGACGGCGCCTCTGGAAAAAGATGTTTCCAATTGAACAATGTTTCCTAAGTTAAAATTGTACCAGAGTCCATTATATCTTTGGCATTCTAACACCACTAACTAGAAACACACTAAGAAATTAACAGTAGTTGTATCATCAAAATCATCCCAAAGTATAAACTACCAATATTTCCAACTATGGATGATGTAGCTTTGGGACTAGGAGTCAAATTTACATATTTTTATTACCAATAGCATTTTCAGCGGAGGCAACCGAAGCTATGACATGTAAGAAAAAAACTGAAATTGAATCCCCTATAAAGAGAGAGTGAGAAATAAATCAGATAACAGGAAGGCTAAATGGAGTACAGTAATTGTGGTTTGTTTGTTGTTGTACTTTCAGCCTCTGTAGGGCTGAAAGTATTATATTTTAGCAAACCATTCAATTGCACATCACCTCTGCCTTTAATCTAAACAAATATGACCACTCAGTAGAATGGTTTAAAAAACTGAATTTGTTCTTGTGTTGTTTTACATTACAATATGTAAAAGTTAAACAGTCTTTTTCTTCCTCTTTGAGAAGCTAAAAGTAACAAAAAAAGGACCTGACCATCTTTCTGCAGAGTTTGAAATATACTGCAGGTATATCCTGTTTATTTTATATGAGTTCCTGGTGTTATAAGAATAGTTAATTATTTCAAAGACTTGATTATGTACTTTTCGAGTTTAATCTGTATTATATTTATAGGTACTGAGAGTATATTCAACCAATTAGAGGCAAATTAAGCCTCAGACAGATCACCAGTTTTTGACGGATTCAAAACACAGACATAAGAAAGCTCATATAAAAATTATATTTACAACCAATAAATACATCAAAATGCATATATTTTAATGGTGGAGAGAAACCCTAGAAACCCAATAGGGACACAGGTGAGAACATGCAATCTGTACAGCAAGAGCCAGACCTAAGGTAATTATGCCATCATACAAACCACCAATTAAAACAAATTTGGGAATCAAGTTTAAATTAATTGTGCAATTTCATTTTGAAGAACCTCCAGTGCAAACTGACAAAGACCACAAAGAAACTCCTCTTCAAATGGCTACAAACTCAGCTCTGCTCTGTCATCTTATAATTAACCAACATCAAGTTCAAGAATCCTGAAAGCTGCAGTAAACATCTTGGTAATAAAAGATTTTAGAAGAATACCTGCATGTTTTTGTTGTTTTCTGTTGCCTTTTTCTTATAATCTACTCCTGGAAGCTGCACATTACAAAACATAATAACCCTAAAATGGGACATAATAGGATTACAGTTTGTAATTTCAATTCAAAGCCTCACCAAATACAGTAAATATTAGAAATATCCATTCAAATTTATACATGTACATGTTTCATTTATCATTTCCTTAACATTCATCGTTTCATTCAATTTTTTTCTTTTAAATACCACTAGTCAAGCATCACACATATTTAACTGCCACATTATTGCTTCATGCTTTAAACTGCAAGCATTACAAAATCAACAGTGCAAGCTCAAGGCATCTGGGGGATGAGACAAATTAAAATGACACACGATTGGCCGTATCCTCCAGTCGATTACTTCATCTGAGGGCGGACTAACCATCCCGCACAAAAAAGCAGCTTTAGGGTTGCTCCCTCTCCTAGATTTAAGCAATAATTCACTAATGTACTTGAGTGGCGTGTATCTGGGATTAGGGATTACTGGTTTAAAGAGGGAATGGATTTGGGGGTTCAGTGCACGGGTGGGGTGATGATCTCAGGGAGACTCAGACAAAACAATGTCTGGACAGATGTAAGAAAGCTGTAACCTCAATAAGTGAAGATCACACCAAGAAGATTGAGGAAATGCAACCATAACAATTCTCTTCCTCAAGTATCTGACAACGGAAGTAACTGCAAGTTTGTCTGTCTCTTAAGCTATGTTCACACTGCAGGCCTTAAAGCTCAATTCCGATTTTTGCGTGGCTGTTTACTTTTCCAAATATATGCGACTTGTATGTGATCTCCTGTGTAAACTACATTCATACAAAGTAAGTGTCCCACATGCGCAGTAGAGGATGCAATGACGTCACAAGCAAGCATGCTCTGTGTTTACGGAAGTAAGCATATATATGCATCTAGCAGTCCTCCATTTATTCTGCACAGCAAGACGCAGAATAGTGACTTTTGTTAAGTATTAATGACGTTCAGGTCAGATGAGTGCAACCTGGCCGTTCACACACAGGTTGAATTTGAAAAGATCACATCGATAACGGATTCAGGACCACATAGCCAAGTGGCCTGGGTCGCATTGGAAAAAATCAGATCTGCGTTGCTCAGACTGCCATGAAAAGAGAAGATACAGGTTGCACACAGTAGTAGCCATTCAAAATTTCCCTACTTTCCTTGATGCGCCCTTGGCTGGTCCTTGGCTGGTCCCCTACAATTCATTTTTAAACATCAGTCTTTGTACTAAAATATTCTTTCTGTCATGATTTGTGGAGATTAAGATCTAAAGAGAAGTGCCTTCTCCTGATCAGACCCTGTAATTCAGTGAAAGATTGGAGTCAGAGTAAAAAAATATGCACGCCCAGGAGAAAACCAGTGGCTGGAAGTTAGCTGCTATTCGGCTGGTGTTTGACTGGGAAGGGCCATTTGGAATGGCTGTTACTGTACGGATGTGGGTCACTTCAGGCTGCTGTGTTAATGTAGCCAAACATCAAAATTTTTGAACATGTACTGAGGAGAAAAATGCCATTTTAACAATATATGCTAAAAATGTTTAATATGCCAACCATTCATCAACTGGCAGACGGATGCAATACTACAATGGATTTACACATTTTGAGATATTAATTGTGATTCAGATGGACTTTTCCCAAAGTAAGGAATATCCTCAGATAAGGAGGGTCAGTCTTTCTTGACTATTCTAATTCTGATTCTAAGTCTCCAAGTCACAATGAACACTGATATAAGTAAAAACTGAGGGAACATTGTGGAACACAGTCACTAGATTTTAAACTGGGGCCAAATTTAAAATTTCCATTAAATTTAATTAAATACTCTTAACTTAACTGCTTTTGTATTTTAAAAGTACAAACTTATCAATTATAAAGGTATATTGTGTTAATATACAACCTTAATTTTATAGGTTTGCTCTCTGTTTGTAGAGCTTTGAAACTGTCTCTCTTAATCTCTTCAATGTCTCTTTTTTCAATTCAGGACACTTTTTAAAAAGCTGTTATTTATTTATTTTATTAGGTTATTCAATAAGCTGAGAACGTCCTATGTAACCTTTTGAAAATATACCAGTGCAGCAGAGTTTAATGGCCTTAAAGGTTCTTTGCTCTTGGGGTAAGCGACAGAGGGGAAATCTGTGTTCCAGTGGTTTGTCCAACTTTGACGAATATTCTTCCCTATAAGCTACACTCCCATCACTGACCTGCCTCTATTCAAAGTCAAGCTTAAGACCTATTAATTGAAAAAAAAATTTACTTCTAGACTTTGATATTTTTCTTTTAACATATATATATATTTAATTTTCCTTGATACTGTCTTTGTTATAATGTATTCTGTGTTTGTTTTTAAGCTGTAAAGTAATTTGATCAATGCATTGCTAGAAGTTGCTGCATTCATAAAGTTTGATTGGATTTGATTCTGGTCTGAACCATGACGTTGATAGTGTACAACTGATTATCCATAGTGGTAACTGTGGGTGACGCAGCAGGTTTGCAGTTGTCATATAACCCAGTTGTCACAGATCAATGGGAGCATACACTGTGGACTAACTCAGGCAGTTCTCAGTCCATTGGAGAACCCCCATGTGGAAAAATAAGATGCACATTCAATTCTTTACCTAAACTTAGGATAATTTCATCCTGCATGCATATTTAGGTCTGAGGGGTTATCCAACACTCTAAAGAACCATACAACTATACAAACTATTCTATAAAAACTAAACAAAAAATACCATTAGCAGGAATAAACAGCACAATCTCAAGGAATATTGGCTAAGACACAGTATTATCTGGACAGGATACTAATACTTATAGTTAATCTTTTGCAATAGTTGCTATTACAACCTTATAAAGGCAACCTAACAGCCTCAGCTCAGCAGGATCAGATCTGTCAGGTGATGAGTAGAAATAAAGAACTGGACGTGTTTCCCAAATGGGATTTTATAACATTTTCATTTGACTTCTTTTTTTTTTTGTCTTTTCTGACTAACTATCTCAGTAAAATCTCTGTTGGTTCTAAAGAAAATGTGAAAATATTACTATATTTTGAGCCAGTTTGATTTGAAAAGGGGTTTTAAGATGTTGTTTTACATATTATGTGTGGGGGATTTTATCTTTCTTCTTGAGAACGTTTTGTTCTCATCTCAGCAGGAATGATTCGCCAAGAGTGGGAAGAAAACTCCTGTGAGTTAGCTTAAAACTTTTACCTTTAAAGTGTTTATTTTCTATCACACT